TCTTGCTACTTCTACTTACACTTAGGTCACACTACACATACATGTACAAGCATATATATACACACACCTCTCTGTTTTTTTTTATTATTTTCTTACTAGTTCTTGTTTTTGTTTATTTCCTCTTATCTCCATGGGAAATTGGAACAGAATTCTTCCTCTGTAAGCCATGTGTGTTATAAGAGGTGACTAAAATGCCGGGAACAAGGGGTTAGTAACCCCTTTTCCTGTATACATTACTAAATTTATAAACAGAGACTTTTGTTTTTCTTTTTAGGCCACCCTGCTTTGGTGGGATAGGGCTGGTTTGATGAAAAAAAAATTATTTTGTGTTGTACTCTTTATTGCTTAGACACTCAAAATACTCACAAAAAAATATGCACAGAAAAAACATAGTATGCATTCCATAATTATTTAACCCTTTGAGGGTCGACAGGCCCTCTCCGAAACTCGTTCTCAGGGTCGGCCAAATTTCAAAAAAAAAAAAATTATTTTTTCTTATGAAAAAATAGAGTATTTTTTTCTAAACATTATAGGCTAAACAAAAAAATTTTAACGTCAATACTTACCGAGATATGGGGGTGTGAAATTCCCAAAATTTTGAAACAATGGTAACTTTGCCGACTCCCACCCGGTTTTTTTCTATTTATTTTTTTATGTACTTTTTTTTCAATATTTTTAAATTTTTTTCTTTTTCTAGTAACTTTTATGGCCTCTGGGGCCAACATGTCATATTTTGTAATTTATTTTTTTTAAATACACACAATAAGGGGCTAAACACTGTTGTCAATTTTGTTTACAAAAAATATTTACACAAACAAACAAATGAAATTTTTTTTATTACTTTTTTTTTCTATATTTTTATACACAATACAGTCACGGGACATGTTTTAGAATTCTGCACCCCTGGGGAAAACTTTTTGAAACATGGGTCATCACATGGATTTTTTGCACTCCTCACCAAAAACGGTGTCTTTTTCCTGTTGTTGGGGCTTTTTTTGTATGTGAACAGACGTAACACCTCTTCTGAGCCTTTTTTTCAAAGCAGTACGGGCAGTTTTTACCAGGAAGTGATCACCATGCTTCAGACGAGCAGGTAGTTGTTGAAAAATTTGGGGGGCGGTAAATTGCGTGCTTTTCCCTTGGGTACTTGAAACTTTTTGTCTGATACAAAAAACAAATTCGCCGAACGGGGTTTGTTTCTGGTGCTCTCTTATACTTTTATAAGCTTTGAGCGGGAAATGTCCGAAGATGGAAAAAACAGTTTGATGTACCATTTATAACTTTTGCGAACAAATCAAAACCCAATCTGCATGTCACTTTTGTCCACGAACGCATGTTGAAGTGTAATCAATCACAGCTGCATTTTTAGAATGGGTTCATTTCTCCTCTATCTGCCTGCCACTGTCTGCCTTTTCTTAGGGGAATTGATACAACAGTACATCTCGTTTGTCATGCCACCGAAATCCATTTCTTGGCACAAACCCTGCACCTCACCTCGCGAGTGCCAGCGTCAAACCTGGCATATGTTTTCCGTTTTGAAACCACTGTGCCAAACACACATCTGTCATTTTCATTTTCGCAAAAAATAAAACTGAGTGGGGGGCTTGTGACCAGTTACTTTTAATAATATATGCCCTTACCAAGGTATGGTTTTATCAATTTGTTCGAACCACATCACCTGAGATCCCCAAATAACTTCCTGGTATTTTAAATGTATAACTCCAGTGAAACACAATAAATCCAATACCAACCACGAAACAATCCAAAGAAACAAAAAACTTTATACCAAAGCGTTTCCTTTTCTTGGTATGTACTGCTTAAAAGAGAGTCTTCCCTTTGAACAGAATCAAAGCTCGTAAATTACAAGTTTCCTAAAGGGGGATAAAAATGAGTACTGAATTTCTTTTCGAACACAAACACTTTCCCTAATCTTATATAACCTTCAGTTCGTCGGGCCTTTTTTTATCTGAGAATGAAGCATACGTAACTTTAGCACAAATCGATTCACTGGCATTATACCTGAAACCCGGTGTTGCAATCGGGGGTCTGTTGACCCTAGATTTCACTTTGTGCTTAACCATGTGCATAAGCATAAATTTTTTTCAAAGAAAAGATACTCCAGCCACATTTTCCTCCCTTCCTTGGGGTTTAAAGGATTTTGGTGAAAGTATTGTGTTTGCCAGGGGGTACCTAGTATGTGTTTTCTTTCCCTGACAAACTTTTATCATGGTTCGTCAAAGAAAAAACTCAAACATTCCATTCAGTGGGATTGTTCCCAAATGCACAAGATGGGCCCATTCCCTTTGGCTCCATCAAAAGGGGGGGTTTGGAACAAAATTGACAGCTTTTCCCGCAATCCGGTGCGGGCTGCTGGTGGGGCTGACAATGACAGGTGGTTGGGTTTTGGAGGTTTTGGTTGTGGGGTTTGGTTTGGAGGGTGTGGGGGGGAGTGGGGGGGGGGCCCTTTGTTTTTAGATCAGCTGAGGGAGCGGTGTGCGCGGGGTGGGAGCAGCCCATGCTGGTGCCTCACCCCCCGGACCACTACCCCACGCACATTTTTCCCTCCCAATTGCAAAAAGTATCTTTTGTCATTTTCACTGTCTGTTCCTGTTTTACGCCCCGGGAGACTCCGAAAACACCCTTCCCCTTTTATAACAAAGGGGCACTTCCAGAGCGCATATATCGTCGTAATACTACCTTCACGGGGAAATTTCACTTCACTATCACTACTGGAAAAGTTTTTTAAGAGCCTTTTTAGTTCATATTCACTATCACACATCACCCATCTCTCACTACTGGATTTGGAAAATAGAAGTTTCCCCCTTGGTTCTGGAACAACTGAACGGAACACAGGGGCCCCACCCGAGGGGGGAAGGCTAGGTCGCTGGGTTTTTTTTTACTATTTCCGATATTTGGCATTTTTTCGGGCAAACCCCCATAAAAAACCCCGAAAAACCCTCTCACTGGCACTCCACACTATTAGAAATGTCACTGGGAACAAAAGTGTCCCAATTGCCGAGGGGGAGGACTTCTTACCGCGAGGAGGGGGACATTGTTTACTAAAGGGGCATTCCCACAATGCACCACTGGGGGCCCAATTTTTTTCTACCCCACCAAAGACCACGCAACCCATTCTCTCACACCTGGCCTCCACCTTTTTGCGCGAGATTTTAAACCACTAATTTATGCGTACTATACAAAAACCCCCACGCGTAAGACTACTAGTACCACAAAACCCAGAAAGGGTTTAAAATTTCCTTATATTGGTTTTTGTTAAATAAGTTTTTAACATTTAAAACTCTCGCAAAAGGGAACCCCCCAGTTAGACTTAAGTCATGACTTAATCCTTTCACTGCCCAGGCCCCCCAAATTAATATTGCTCTCAGTATTCACTTTTTTTTTTTAAATATTTTTTCTTCTCAAATAGTAAAGAATCTTTTTCTGAAGATAGTAACACCAAAACTTTGAAATTTGATGTTAAACTTATGGAATTATGCGAGTGCAAAGTTAGCCTTCTTGGCACAATTTACACATTGGCATTCTCGCCAACTTTGAGTCCTATTGTAAGTCAATTTCATTGTTCTAATTGACCAGATTCCTAGCTGTTTCACTATTATGCCTTCCTTTCTATTGATTAAGCACAAGAAATCACCCATTCAACTATTTGAACAACTGTATGAAGTGTACAGAAGTCCATAATTTGGCCAGTTTTACACAAAATTAAAAAAAAATATCAATTTAAAAATAGTTGAAAATGAACAAGGTAAACATTCCTGGCACTAAAAAGCATTTTCTCTGTTCATTAATCATGTCCCCAGGCCTCTCCTATATTACAATTGCCTTCCATTTTGCTCTATTTCTTGAATAATAAAATATAACCAGGAATGATAAATTAGACACATATGCAACACTTGGGTATCTTTATTGAGGAAACGTTTCGCCACACAGTGGCTTCATCAGTCCATACAAAGGAGAATGGTGAAGAACAGGAGGAGTTTGAGGTAATCAGTCCCTCGGCCTTGAGTCGATGTAGTCAGTCAGAATACAGCATATGTGTGAAGACGTAGCTTATATACTGTAGGCAGGAGAAGTGAAGTAGTTGTAGAAGGTATCACATTTAACCAGTGTGGAAGTAGGTCATGCCCAAGGGTTAGGCAAGTGAAGAATGCAGGGAATTCTTCACTTGCCTAACCCTTGGGCATTACCTACTTCCACATTTGTCAAATGTGATACCTCCTACAACTACTTCACCTCTCCTGCCTAAGGTATATAAGCTACATCTTCACACATATGCTGTATTCTCTTCAAGATTGATGGACTGACTACATTGACTCAAGGCTGAGGGACTTATTACCTCAAACTCCTCCTGTTCTTCACCAATATTCTTTGTATGGACTGATGAAGCCACTGTGTGTCAAAACGTTCCCTCAATGAAGATACCTAGGTGTTGCATATGTGTCTAATTTATCAACCTGTCAGTTCTCTGAGCCATTCATCTACCTAACCAGGTATGATTGGTCATGTTTTACTTTGTCCCAATAATTGAATCAAACCTATTTAAATCCCATAAAATGGACTGGAGGGTGTAGGGAGTCCTTTTTGGTCTTTACTTTCTCCATCATGAACTTGTGAGATGATAATTTCACAAGCTTCTGTTAACATTCATTATAAATATATGTTTACTTTCCTGTGTGCTTACTAATATTTCTTAATTCTGTAATATTTCCTTTGCAGTTTAAGAGGCGTTATCTGAGACCCGGCCATTGGGGTGATTATTCAAACAGCCATTAAAAGAATTTCATTATTTTTTTTTTCACAGTGGTTGTTCTGCATATTAACATAAATTAGTCATCTTCACCATTTAGTTCACTGTCTAGTTTTTATTTGTACAACAACATTCACACATCATGAGATACCTTTAAGAATATTTAACAGATTTTTAAAACCTTTATTTATATCTATTTTCTCTATTAATTTCTAAGCTGGTGATTATTTTTCAGGGAGAAAATATTTATATATTTCCAAGTAGCGACGACTCTGTGTTATATCAGGCCAAGGAAATGGCAACTGAAGCCAAGCAGAGTGGACAGTTTACAGATACCAATGTCTTTCGACTTGAATGTAAACAGTGTGGTACCATAATTGCTGGAGAGGACCAAGCACTTGCTCATGCTAAAAAGACTGGTCACAGCAAGTTTGAAGAAGTTCATCGTAATTGATGTTATTTTCTCGATAGCTCTTTTTAACTAATATTCATTTTTTTTAAATTTATGGATCTCATGTGTAGAGTTAGTTCATAACTTTGAATAGTAGCTTTTAAGACTCCTGTTTTTAAAACATACTGTAGAAAAACCTTCATTTTAATTGACTTCAATTTAGCAGATTTTGGAAATTCAGATTAAAAATTGCTGAGTCAGTTGATTCAGGATTTTTATCAGTAGCTTTTAAGATTCCTGTTTTTAAAGCATGTTGCAGAAAACCCTCAGTTTAACTGACCTCACTTTAACAGATTTTGGAAATATAGAATAAAAATTGCTGAATCAGTTGATTCAGAATCAGTGGACTAAGTGTGTTGGTTAAAGAATTGACATATTGTTGCAATTACAAAAAAAATAATCTGTTATCTAAATACCACCACTCACTGGCTACTCTATTATAATGTTGGTTAAATCATTGGCTTGCTGTATATTGATGATAAGTACCGGTGATTTTTACTGATGGACCCCATTTACAGAGTTATACTTTTTTAAGCTTGCATATTGTACAAAGGTGAATATTATGATAACGATTAGCAGAGTAGGTTACACTGCACAATGCTTGCTTAGCAAGCTTAATGTAAGTTTTTATAATTTTTACCATGAAACCCATGGGAAAAGTATTTTCATTGTAAACTAAAACTTGTAGATTTCATCCACCTTTTCATTTTATATTGAGTAATTGAATATGCTAAAATATGTAAATCTTTAAACATAATTATGAAAGATTATTACTAAATGCTTCACTAATTTACTAAATGCCTGCACTTTAACCCTTAAACTGTCCAAACGTAGATCTATGTTTGCGCACTTAGCGCTCCCAATGTAGATTTACATTTTTTTTTTACACAAGAAACAACGTAAAATTGGACGTAGATTTACGTTCGGAGTGCTACGCGTGCAAACGTAGATCTACGTTTGGACAGTTTAAGGGTTGAAGGAGGTGTTTGGGATATTGGCTATTTGGAGTGACATCTAAACTGTCGTATCTGAGCACTTCTGCAAAGACAGTCAGTGGTTATGCATGAATGATGGTGAGTGTTGAACGATGATGAAAGTTTTTTCTTTCTTTTTGGGTCACCCTGCCTTGGTGGGAAATGGCCAACATGTTAAAAAAAAAAAGAAAACTTCACTATCGTACATTTTTGCTTTCCTGAAGATGGAATTTGTAAACTATTGAAGATTAAGCCATGACATTTTAAGTTAAGTTGTAATTATCAATTTCAAGTTATAGAAGCAAAGATATGTTAATGACATTCCATCCTTTCAAGGAGGATGCCATGATACTGGTGAAGGGCTCTTGATCCAGTTTGAGCAAGGTAACATTTTGTGAAGGGATTCAGGGAAAACTGGTTAGCTGGACTTGAATGTTGGAGGTGGAAAGTACAGTACCTGCACTCTAAAGGAGGGGTGGGGATATTTACAGTTTTGGAAGGGCATCTGAACTGTAGTATCTTTGCACCTATGGCAGTGCACTGAATGATGGTGAAAGTGCTTCTTTTTCAGGTCTTCCTACCTCGGTGAGAGATGGCCGATGTGATAAAAAAATATATATATATATTTCCGGCCATAAGATGAGGTTTTTTTCCTAAATGAATATACCCAGTGTTATACCCCATGTCTTAAGAATGCAGGCCACAAAAAAAAAGAAAAATAGGAAAATAACTAAATAGAGGAGAACAGCTGTAAGATTATTAGCTCATGCTAAGCAGGCTCATCTCAAATTTAACTTTTCTCAATTATATATTTGTTCAACCTTCTTATAAAGCTACCCAAGATTTTCAGAATATAAAATTAGAGGATTGTTTTACATGATGGTAGAATTGCTGGTGTCCTTTTTTCCGTTTCATAAACATGCAAGATTTCAGGTACGTCTTGCTACTTCTACTTACACTTAGGTCACACTGCACATACATGTACAAGCATGTATATACATACCCCTCTGGGTTTTCTTCTATTTTATTTCTAGTTCTTGTTCTTGTCTATTTCCTCTTATCTCCATGGGGAAGAGGAACAGAATTCTTCCTCCGTAACCCATGCATGTCGTAAGAGGCGACTAAAATGCCAGGAGCAAGGGGCTAGTAACCCCTTCTCCTGTATATATTACTAAATTTAAAAGGCGAAACTTTTGTTTTTTCTTTTGGGCCACCCCGCCTCAGTGGGATATGGCTGGTGCATTGAAAGAAGAAGAAAATTAGAGGAACACTGTAGTAGGCCTACTGCAGCCTGTTTTTAACCCTTTCACTGTTGACTCCCTCCAAATTTTGTTTTATCTTTAGAAACTCCCCCCCCCCCCCACAAAATCTGATGTAATATTAATTATGCAGGCAGGGAGCACTTTGTATTCTGAGCACCTCTGCAAAAACAGTGATAATGTGCGAGTGTGGTGAAAGTGTTGAATGATGATGAAAGTATTTTCTTTTTGGGGATTTTCTTTCTTTTTTTGGGTCACCCTGCCTCGGTGGGAGACGGCCGACTTGTTGAAAAAAAAAAAAAAAAAAAAAAGAGCACTTTACATATTTAGTGGTTTTGCTCACCTTGAGGCCTATTTTAGGCTCGATCATTAATATGCCTTCCCTGCCATCCTTTGATTGCAAGAAACCACCCAATCAACCAAGACAATTATCCTATCAAGCTCCCAGAATTTGATAACATAGCTAATTATACATTATCGTCAACAAATTTCAGTTCAGTAACATAGTTCTAAACAAAGGTTGTATGCATTCGAGCTGCTAAAGCAACCTTCTCTCTGTTCAATAATCATGTACCCAGGTCTCTCCTACATAACCCTTGTCCCCAATTTTGAATCCCCCATCGCAAAAAAATGATACTTTTTCCTATTTCTCAGGTAATAAACCATAATCAAGAATGCTTGGTCTTGGTTTAGGACATTCCAATAATTGAAGGAGACAAGTAAATACCCAGAAAAGTGCTTTGAGGTGTCTTCTAGGGTACTTTTTATAGTTTTATTGGCTGTTTCTTGTATCAGTTGGTAGAATGGAAGACATACTTGTGAAATAGGCAGGAGTTTATTCAGAACTGCACTAAACATCTGAGACAACTTGAACTGCTACATAAAAATGGGCATAAAGACTGAAGGAACATATGTAGAGTCTAGGTAGAATTTTAAGATGGACATGAAAAATTTATTTTAGGTATGATGTGCCATCCCTCAAACTGGGATAGTACCAAGGGAGACTACTTTGGGAGGAAATTATTAAACTTCAAGGCATGATAACATAGTACTTCTAGGAGACTTTAACTTTAGTAAAATTTATTGGAATTCTTTAACTAAGAATGTAGAGTCAGATAACTTCCTAGAGGTTTTTTAAGACAGTTTGTAACAGAAGCAACTAGGGAAAACAGCCTGCTTGATTTAGTTCTGGCAAATGAGAAAACCCTTGCTAATAAACTGGAGATTACAGATGAACTTGGCATGTGCAGTCGTAAATCAATTACATTAAAACTGAATGGAATCATATAAGGGTTCCACAGTTTTTTGTTTAGCAGATTATAGTTGGCTTAGAGAATGCCTTTCATATGCTGACTGGGGTAACAAAGAGAACTATCTATATGACTGTATATTCTGCTCAAAGAACATTTATTCCCTATAGGCAGGCTCTGATCCACCAGGAGGCCTGGTCACAGAACGGGCCGCGGGGGCGTTGACCCCCGGAACTCTCTCCAGGTAAACTCCAGGTAATAGAGAAATAAGATCAAATTGAAGTGATCCAAAAAGTTGAACAGGATGCCTAAATATCTTTTAAGGGTGAAGAAAGGAATTTATAGGTGTATCAAAAGGGGTCATTTCATGAATTAATATATTCACATTAAAAGGGAGCTTTAAAAAGGGGTACAAAAAGCTAAACAAGATTATGAAATTAAAGTTACTAAGGATCTATAAACTAATTCAATAGGTCTTTTTCCAAGTACATATAGAACAAAGGTTAGAGAAAAGTTGGGTCCACTTTAAACTAATTTTGGACAGTTTACTGACAATGAGAAAGAAATGTGCTGAACTTTTAGCAATTATTGGTCTTCACTCAAGAAGACAAATGATATTGTAGTAATTTATTATAGTGGGACTGAGGTAAATAAATATGTAATATCACAGTCACTTGGGATATGGTAATCAATCAGGTAGTGTGATTAAAGCAATACAAGTCATGATAGGAGAGGCCTAGGAACATGATTAATGAACAGAGCAAAGGCTATTTTACTGGCTGGAATATTTAGTGTTTATATTATAATTTGTTGAATTTTATGTAAAATTGGCCAAATTACTAATTTGGAGCGAAACAGAGTGACTTCAAGAGTGTAACAGTTTGTAGTGGAAGGAAGGCGGGGTAGGGGTCGGCCTAGGAAAGGTTGGAGGGAGGGGGTAAAGGAGGTTTTGTGTGCGAGGGGCTTGGACTTCCAGCAGGCATGCGTGAGCGTGTTTGATAGGAGTGAATGGAGACAAATGGTTTTTAATACTTGACGTGCTGTTAGAGTGTGAGCAAAGTAACATTTATGAAGGGATTCAGGGAAACCGGCAGGCCGGACTTGAGTCCTGGAGATGGGAAGTACAGTGCCTGCACTCTGAAGGAGGGGTGTTAATGTTGCAGTTTAAAAACTGTAGTGTAAAGCACCCTTCTGGCAAGACAGTGATGGAGTGAATGATGGTGAAAGTTTTTCTTTTTCGGGCCACCCTGCCTTGGTGGGAATCGGCCAGTGTGATAATAAAAAAAAATAGTTCTAAAATTTGAATGGGCAGTTTCTTGCACTCGGTTGATAGAAAAAAAGGCACATGTACTAGTGAGTTAGTTAGGAATTGGGAGAAGTAAGCATTGGAATTGGCTTGAAATAAGACTCAGATTGGGTGAAATCACTAATCTATAAATTGTGCCTAGACTGCTAACTTTGTGCCTGTGTAATTCTTTAAGTCTTCCATCAAATTTTGCATTTTTGGTGTCATTATCTCCAGAAAAAGATTCTCTAGCATTTCAGTAGATAATGATATTTTTAAACCCGACACTGTCAGCACTTTCAGTTTCTAGGGTTGCATCAGTGAAATGCCTAATGGCTACTTGGCAGATTGTTTAACTTATCAGGAACTATTACCAAACCAGTGTTTTCCTAGACCATTTTAAATCTAAATTTCTTTCTTCTTTCTTTCAACACACCGGCCGTATCCCACCGAGGCGGGGTGGCCCAAAAGGAAAAACGAAAGTTTCTCCTTTTACATTTAGTAATATATACAGAAGAAGAGGTTACCAGCCTCTTGCTAAATCTAAATTTATCCCACTTAAGCCCATTATTATGAGCTCTATTTGTTAGATCCCTTCAGCACCCTATTTATATTTCCTTTGTTTATGTCTTCCACTTCTATTCTTCAGTAATATTTTTCCTCATAGGATATGAAAACACTGCATTGAAGCTAAAACCATAGGTTGCTTTAAAAGTAATTTGAACAAATACATGTATACGAGTGAGCAAGGGGCTAGTAACCTCTTCTCCTGTATAAATTACTAAATTTGAAAAGAGAAACTTTCATTTTTCTTTTTGGGCCACCCTGCCTCAGTGGCATACGGCCGGTTTGTTGAAAGAAGATAACATGTATATGAGTGAGAAGAGTTTGGTTTGAGAAACACTTTCCAACCATGGGGCACTAGATGTACTGCAGAACTCCTTAATTCTTGTTTCTTCATTAGGTATGAAAACACTGCATATATTGATTCCTGCTGCAGAAAAGCCCAGTTTATGTCCATCTATGTGGCATGAAAATACTGATAATTTAACCCAAAGTACAGCTTTCCCTTTTTCTCTTATGGCCAGTTATGAACAGTACCTCCCATTTCCCAGAAGCTGTTTGCTCCTCAGAGTTTTCTGCCTTCCCAAGATTAAACTAGATTAAGCTTAAGATATATTTTGGTCACTGCAAGATCCAAGAAAAGTATTCCTGTACTTCATAAGCCTAGTTTCCTCTACATGAGTACATGCAAAAGCAATAGCGCAGGGCAGTCATAAAGATCTAATGCAGCAAAATGTAAAAATATGTAAACATATGCCTTTGTTTACATATTTTGTTAGATAGGAGTGAATGGAGACAAATGGTTGTAGGACTTGACATGCTGTTGGAGTGTGAGCAAGGTAACATTTATGAAGGGAGTCGAGGAAATCGGCAGGCCGGACTTGAGTCCTGGAGATGGGAAGTACAGTGTCTGCACTCTGAAGGAAGGGTGTTAATGTTGCAGTTTTATAACTATAGTGTAAGTATGCCTCTGGCAAGACAGTGATAGAGTGAATAATAATGAAAGTTTTTCTTTTTCGGGTCACCCTACCTTGGTGGGAGAAGGCCGATGTGTTAATAAAAAAATATAAAAAATAATAGATATGAATATGTATGTGTATGTATGCATGTACATGCAAACACTTGCTTATGTATGCGTATGTGTGTAAACGTTTTTTGTGTGTATGAATATACATGCACTTATGTGTACATATGCTTTGTATGGATTTTTTTTTTTTTTTTTTTTAACAAGTCGGCCGTCTCCCACCGAGGCAGGGTGACCCAAAAAGAAAGAAAATCCCCAAAATGAAAATATTTTCATCATCATTCAACACTTTCACCTCACTCACACATAATCACTGTTTTTGCACAGGTGCTCAGAACACAACAGTTTAGAAGCATATACATATGAAGATGCACAACATATCCCTCCAAACTGCTAATATCCCGAAACCCCTCCTTTAGAGTGCAGGCATTGTACTTCACATTTCCAGGACTCAAGTCCGGCTATATAAAAATAACCGGTTTCCCTGAATCCCTTCACTAAATATTATCCTGCTCACACTCCAACAGATCGTCAGGTCCCAAATACCATTCGTCTCCATTCACTCCTATTGAACACGCTCATGCACGCCTGCTGGAAGTCCAAGCCAATCGCCCACAAAACCTTCCTTACCCCTTCCTTCCAACCTTTTCGAGGACAACCCCTACCCTGCCTTCCTTCTCCTACAGATTTAAATGCTCTCCACGTCATTCTACTTTGATCCATTCTCTCTAAATGACCCAACCACCTCAACAACCCCTCTTCAGCCCTCTGACTAATACTTTTATTAACTCCACACCTTCTCCTAATTTCCACACTCCTAATTTTCTGCATAATATTTACACCACACATTGCCCTTAGACAGGACATCTCCACTGCCTCCAACCACCTCCTTGCTGCTGCATTCACAACCCAAGCTTCACACCCATATAAGAGTGTTGGTACTACTGTACTTTCATGCATTCCCTTCTTTTCCTCCATAG